TAGTAACTTCAGAGTTTGGGACATCGCTTGTTGATTTTCTCTCCAGGTTCTGATCCCTTCCCTCTGGTCATTGAGACCCCAACAGAGATCTATGAATATGTGTCTTCTCTGCTGGACTGGTGGCACGCCGACGGGTACTGCCAACAGCGTTTCGCTCAGTTGCCCTCAGAGAGCCGGACGGATGAGCTGGTGTCTCTGGGCCAAAACCTGCTCTCCCATCGGCTCCAAAATACTATCTGGTTAAACAATGAGGAAGTGTTTCAGCGGAAGCCAAAGCAAAGGCGTGAGTAGAGCAGCTCCATCAAAGAGCTGCAACTCTGGGGTGGCCGGTAGTGCCTGAGGGAAGTCCTGAGGTGGTCAGTGTGATCCCTTTGATTTAATTCTCACCATAACCTAGGTGAGGTGGGTGAGGCAGAAGGAGCGAGAGGATTGGAACTTGCAACCAGAGTCTGCAAGAACCACCTGGGAATTCATCTCCTGTCCCATAGTAGTCTCCTGAGTGCGATGCTCTGTTCTGAAGTTTTGCTCAGATGTCCCTTTCAGGGCCATTGTTTAAGCCTAAGGCCTGCTTCCTTGTTGGACTCCAACTCAATCACTTCAAAACCACAACAACCCAATTAACTTACTGTCCAGGGATGGATCTGGCCTTAAATCCATCTTGGAATCAGAGCTAATCGGTTATCAAAACTGGTTCAGAAGACCTTACAGTTCTTGAGCAGCAGCAGCGGCAGCTTCTCCTCCTCCTCCGAATTTTATCCTTCTATGGACCTCTTTCCCTGGAGTTCCTCCTAACCTTAATTTTTGCACTGTGTCTTTGTAGGCATCCACTCAGCCTCAATCCTGATGTTCAGAAACAAAACAGACACCAAGTTTGTGAAGGTCTTGGCTGACTTCCCACCAATGGCAGCTGTGAGTGCTTGTGCCCACGTCCAGTGGGACCCCACGGCCACAGAGATCTCGACGGTCTTCTCCTATGCAGTCCCAGCCTTCATCAACGAATTCCAGCTCCGGGGCTTTGTCGACGAGGACGGCTTCGTCCGATTTGCCATCATCCTCCACGGACATCACTCCCCCTACCTGCCGGTCTTCCGCACTGACGGACGCTGGCACCATTTCTGCGTCACGTGGCAGCAGTCCAACGGCACTTGGGTCCTCTACGCCGACGGGAAGCAGCGGGCCGCAGCAGCTGGGCTTGCACCTTCCCAAGCCATTGATGGCCACGGGACGTTCATCATTGGGCAAGACCAGGACTCCCTGGGCGGTACTTTCAAGGAGAAAGAATCCTTCAGTGGGAATCTCACCGGCCTGGAGGTTTGGAGGAAGGTCCTCAGCCAGGAGCAGGTAGAGAAAGTCCGCTCCTGCGTGTCCATCAAGGAAGGCCTCATCTTTGGCTGGATGAGTGACATCTTAGAAGTGGAGGCGAGTGTTCAACAGGCCACCGTGCACCTCACCTGTCCAGGTGAGTCTCTTGGGTGGTAACGCTGCTAAGTGACCCAGCACTGCCTGTTTTAAACCTATTGAGCGACGGGCTGCTTTTTCCACCCGCGTGGTCTGGATTAGTCCGTGAAGGATAGAGAAGGACAATCCTTGAAGAGGAAAAGCTCTTCAGCTCTTTGAGGATCCAGCTCTCTTTCTATCTCGTGCTCTCACTTCCTGTTCTTGCAAAGAGAGCTCTTTGCACCCGCTTTTCTTCCACACGGGATTACAAACCATGCAGGCCAAACCAGGGTCGTGAGTTTCAGTCGCCTGCAGGCGGAGAAATTGTAGTGCGTGCCAAAAGAGCCACGTCAGAAAACCCGGGCCACAGTTGTCTGAACCTTGCCAGGGTTCATGGAGTTATTAAACGTGTTTGTGTAAGGATGTCCAAAATCCTCTTTCCTGCTCTGTGGCGTTCTCTACTTTCTCCTTTTCTGTTCTGCAACTGAAGCCACGTTTCTCCAGAGTCTAACTTTGCATCTCTTTGCCTCAAGGAGATTTCCTTGGCTCCCACTCCGCTTTCCTGTCTGGGGCCTCCCTGTTTTCCTCAGTAGCGTGCAACATGGGTGAGATCACGCCCGTTGCTTGACAGCAGTCGGATGCAATCGTAGGACGCTCATAAACATTCTGTGACCTCACAGCTGCCCAGCCAGTAGGATGGAGTGGGCGTGGCCCAGAGATAGGAAGTGCCCGATGAGCATTTTAGCCGAGAAGATCAGCAAGTTCATTATTTGTGCTTGGATCGAGATAAAACCCTTGGATGGTTTTTTGGTTCCTCTTATAAGAAGTCTCTTTTGCCTCCACACAGGCCCCGTGGAAGAATGCCGTGTTTTTAAAGTCACCCATGGAAGCCATGCGTACGGTTCCTGCTCACAGCTGTTGCCCTTCGTCTGTCGCTACAGAAAAGGTATGGCCGCTTGGATCCCCTCCTCCTTCACAGGAGCACCATCTTTGGGGTTGGGTTGTTTGATGAAGCTTAAGGAGATCCGGGTTCAAACCCTTATTGAAACATGGGGTGACTTTGGACCAGCCATCACTTCCTAGAAAACATACCACAATGTACATAAAATGGGGGAGTTCAAAGCGAGAAATCAAAGCAAGAATGAAAATAGCTCAGTGCTAAGAAAAGGTCCATGTCTATCTCTGTGGGCTCTTCACCCCCTCCAGATCTTTACTTCCAGCTGAAGAAAACCCAGTCAGAACCTGTCCCGCTGTTTATTGCTCGTGTGAATGCCCAGGCGAACGTGACAGTGGTAAGTCTAAGAGACCAACAGTGGTGCTACCTTTCCTAGATTCCTGGGGATCGATCCCAAGGTCCAGCAGAATCATGGCCTCTCCAGCCAGATGGCCCACTTTCCCAGCCATTCTTCAGTGAAACCAGAAAGCAGCTAGATTCCTTGAGTGAACCTTTCTGTAGGATCTCCAGTTTCCCTGGCAAACAGCCTCCCAATCCATCTTCTATAGTTCCAGGGAAGAAGGTGTAGAGACCACACAGCCAAAAGTCTGGCATCAAGAACATGGCCTAAGCCCAGAGGATGCCTTGCTAAGTCAGAAGAAGAGGGACATTGGCCATAACTCTTGGTGCAACAGAGAGGACACAGTAACATTCCCTTGGAACCCTTGAATGTTCCCCTGTCAGCCCAAAACTAGGTTCAAGAAGACCATTCATTAAGATCCTCACTCAGGCTGATCTCACCCTATATAGCATTCTTTGCCTCACTTGCCCAAGTCCTCCTCTAACTTCAGACTCATTTCTCTCCTGCAGATTCCCGAGAACATCTTCCAGGCAGATGTCCAAGGTGTGAATATTTCAGCAGCGGCTGATTTCCTGGGAGTCGTGGAGAGAGTCCTGTCGGAGGCCGAACCTCCCCCACTGGATGCCTCCTCTCTCCTGGGGGTCTTCCAGCTTTTGAAAGAGGTGTCAGATGTGGAGGTGGAAGAACCAGGACAACTGGCCACACTGGAAGAGCTGGGCCAACACTATGTGGAGATTACAGGGAGAATTCTGGAAGAGAAGAATGCTGAGGACTGGTCTGAGATCAAGCCGGTAAAAATAATAGCATTGGAGGAGAGTCTTTGGGGGGCATCTAGTCTACTCCTACCAAAGAGGAGGTCCATAGCTACACAGACCTGACCTATCTGTCTAACCACTGTTTGGGATCCTTCTCTGCTTGGAGTTTCAATCTGGCAACCAAGATACAAAAGCTCAAGTGGTCGAGTCCCTTCCAACTGTTCCTATCTTCTCCAGATCATCGGGGGACCCATGACAGTGGTGAAAAATGTGGACAAGATGGCTTCCAGCCTCCATCAGCTCCTGAGCCCAGACAGGTGGAAAGTCACCTTCCGCAGTAAGAACATTGGTAAGTGAGACCAAACTCTATGCCATCTTGGTATGGGCCACATACTTGACCCTTGGAAATATTTGGGGGGAAGAGGTTTTGGGGGGGTTATTAGAGGACCTTGGTCCCTCCTGGGGAATTCTGGGCGTTGAAGTCCACATCTGAAAGTGGCTGAGGTCAAGAAACACTGATCTAGATTCTATGTTGGTGGGTGAGTAGAGGTGGCAGAGAAAAGCAATTTAGCTTCCTTAATTAAAAGGAAAATGAGGCCCCACTGCCACCATTAAAATCTAGGGCAGCTTTTCCTAACCTGGGGTATCCTCCATAGTCCCCATCATCTGCAGGGATCATCCCCAACACATCTGGAAGATGCACAGCTGAGAAGTCTGATGGAACATTTGGGGCAGTGGCCACAAGAGGGCACTTCCTGTCAAGCTGCTCAGGAACCCTGCTCCCGTGTTGGTGCAAATGCTAATTTTCAAGGCTGAAAAATCTTGAGTCGGCTCTTTTAAGCATTTAAAGCATTTCAGAATTCATTGAACCTAGACCTGCACCATTTCTCTGCGAGATGCAACGTGCCCCTTAGTTTCCTCAGCACAGAGAGAAACCTTTGCAAGGCAGCTCGAGAAACCCTGGGTGGAAATTCTGGGGGAGTAACTCCTTGCACCCCCAAGCGACGCCTGTCTGGTCTCTCTGCTTCCAGGGATCGAGGTGCGACGCGCAGAGCTGGGCACAGAGAGAGCTGGCAGCGGGGCCTCCCTGGTGCTGAGCCAGCATTGGGACCAGCTGGATGCGATCGAGGTCCCGGCTGAGGAAGTGGAGAGGCTGAGAGTGAGAGGTAGGGAGCAGGGATCATCGCTGGTGGCAGGCTGGTCCTCAGAAGTTCCTTCCTTCTGTTTGGATCTACAAATCCTACAAAGTCTATCTTCCAGAGGTCTAAAGGAAGAGGTTAGAACGGAAGGGCTCCAGAGAAACCAAAATGGAAGAAACAGAAGGAAAGACAGGGTGGTCTTTGACGGAGGCTCATTTGTCTGGGCCCATCTTCTCCGCCTTGAGCTTTTGCACAGCCAGCTGTTAATTCTCCACCTCTGCCCTTCTCCAGGTCTGCATCAGATCATCCTCACAAACACTTGGTACAGCTACGGGGCTCTCCAGCGCCTTCTCGCCAGCAGCAGCGCTGTGTTCAAAGATGCGGCTGTGTCGGACGGAGGCAGGAGGTGGGACCCTCATGGCACGGACTCCTTGACTTGGAAAGGGCCCAAGGGCTGCATTCAGACATTCGTGTTTGGCTTGCTGGCTTGCATACATGCCTTGATACAGCATCCAGCGGCCGGGGGGGGGGGGGTTTCCAATCAAAGACCCCCAGTGCTGTACAAGGGAGGTGGGCTGCAACAACGAACGTCTTTCCCCAACTTCCAGCTTCTTGGATTATCCACATGGGGTTGGGTTGTCTCACTAGCCAAATTCCACGCAAGAGGCTATGGTCGGCCTGTCTTTCTTGCTGTTGGTCACAAGGGGGTGCTGTTGCTTTTTTTGAGCCCCCCCCCCCCCCCCCCCAAAGGAAATTGGGGGGAAAAAAAAGGGGGCGGGGGGGGAGCATCCGTTTGTCCGAATGTGTCCATTTGGAGATCGGATTCAATCGAACTGACCTCACAAATCCGATTTACCCATTTAGTTTGCTTCTCAGCTGGATTTCCCAATCGTCCCCAATTGGGTCTATCTGAAAGATTCACTCTTGGGGTTAAATAGGCTAAAAAAGTAGATAAATTGGAGGACCTGCCTTGAGCGTGCTGCGGGAAAACCGGTTCCTTAGCAAAAAGATCAGCAGAAAGATTCCTTGGTGAATGTACGGCTCCCTCCCTTTTTACTTAAATCTCCTAAATCCACCAACAAATATAAAATAGATCAATGCTTGTTAGCGAAAAGACAAACACAACGATGCACCACAATGTCATGGAATCACAACCACGTCACCGAAATGAGAAATACACGTTTCCTGAGCAGGGAGGGATGAAGCAAGGGCACAAAACAGGGCAGGTGGGCTTCCCCAGAGTTACGTCTCCTGGGTTTAGGGGGTGGAATAGGGTGGTAGGAGTCGTCTGCACATGTAATGGGGTCATCTGGATTTCTGGGGAGCTCTGTGTTGAATCCTGTGGGCCGGGTGGGTTGAGAAACGTTGGGACCCTTCTCCAATTTTTTGTGAATGTTCTTGGCCTTCGACTCTGTTCCTCCACCTCTCCTCTGCGGTGGGGCACAGATGCTGGCTTGGGGCACGCCACCAAGCCTGCCATGCTGGACTCTTCCTCCTTAGGCATCTGAGCACCCAGGTGGGCACTTCCATTATCTCCTCCAGCTTGGTCAGCGACTACGAGGAAGTCAGTACGTCTGTGCAGTACCGCCTCCGGCATCGGGTTCAGGTGAGGCTTCAGAGAGAAAGGAAGGAAGTCGGGGAAGGGAGGAGAATGGAGGGAGGGGACTCCTAAAGGACCTCAGGATGGACCATTTTATTCCATCAAGATCTGTGTTTCCTTGAGGGAAACAGTTGGGGCAAATGTCCTCCAGCAGATCGTCATCTGCTGATCCTCAGACACCCAGTGGGCTCCTCCTCTTCCCCTCTTTTCTTCCTCTCTCACCCCTTTTATTTTTTTTTCTCTATTCATCATTAGATTTACCCCCACCTTTCCTCCAGAAGGTCAAGACAGTTCCCCCCCCCCATGTTTTGCTGCCCCACCTTTCCTCTCAGGACCAAAATGGTTCACCAAAGGTCTGAGATGACCATTTTCAACCTTGAAACCAAAGATTCAAGGCTTTTGGGCTGCGGTTGCCCCATTGGACAGCTGAAGATCAGCACACGCCAGGCCAGGTGCTTGCATTTTTTAAATGAAACATAAAAGGCCTGTTTTGCAGGTCACCCCAACTTCAAGGAAAGGGAGCAACGGGCCTTAGTTTATGGCACGAGGGGATTGGCTACCTTCATAAATTAAACAAGGCCTTTCCTGAGATTTGGGGAAATCTGTTGCTGGTCCAATCCTGTCACGTTATCAATACGAACCCAAGACTTGCAAGAGTTGATAGCTGGAGGAAGCATTTCTGGGCCAGAGAACTTTCCCAGCCAACATCTCCATTATTTTGAGAGCGCGTTCCTTTCAAAAGAGGTACCATCTCTTTATCTCTTTTCTGACCTTCTTTCGCTGTAGGCTCTACCAGACCAACTTGTAGAACCAGTCTGTGCTTTTTGGAACTTCAGCAGGAGGTAGGCAGTTCCGGGCAGCCCCCCCAGTTGCATTTTTGGAAAAGGGCTGGCATGAGAAGAATTCAGTGCCATTGGGTAGAGCTTGTGGGATCCCTGCTGGTTCCAGGGAGGGCTGGAGTACAGTCTCTTGAAAGTGGCAGCTGCGAGGACAGATGGACACTCGATGGACAGATATCTGCCCTAAAGTCCACTGCGGATTCCCACACTGCTTCCTGGCCCATCCAGGGGCAAACCTTCTTCTTCAAGAAGACTAAGCCCAGTGCTCAGCTGTGTCCACACAAGACGCTTCACTTGGGGACCAAATTCACCCCTTTTTGTAGAAGACCTTGCTAACTGGGTGGGCTGAGGTTGCCCAACATGAACCAACAACAGTCACGATCAACCCAGCCACCTCTGAGCATGCTCTGCAAACCACACTGCCCCATAAATGCGTAACGCAACTTAATTTACCAGGCGGTGAACCCAGTGATTGGGTTTTGTCTGAAGTACATGAACCAGAGAAGCCCTCCTTTAGGAAAGGAGACTGAGAGACCTTCATTGCAGAGGGCCAAAGGCCTCTGGAGGTTGGCATCAGCCCCTTCCGATGAGAGGCTTCCCCCATGCGGCCTCCCTGGGGTGGGAGGATCCGGTGTCCCGGACATGAGCATCTGGGCCAGAAGATTTTCCTGCTCTTTAGTCCTGAAGGTGCTGGAGGCTGGTCCACCAAAGGCTGCTCGGTGTCTTCCTCCCAGGAGGAACTAACCACCTGTGCCTGTAACCACACCACCAACTTTGCAGTCCTGCTGCAGGTCTACGAAGTGCAGGTCAGAAATGGGGGCGGGAGGCCTTCGTTCCCTGTGGAGGAAGGCACTTTCTGGGGGGCTTTGCTGGAAGGGTTGCAGCCAGCCACGGGGGGAGGACGTGGAGAGCGGATCAGGCCCTCCCTCCTTATTTGGTTGGTGCAGAATCCTCCTTGCTCTCTTCTCCAGATCCCCCTCTGGCATTTGACCCTTTCCCTTCCCACCCCCACCCAAAACATGGCCAGGAAAGGGGCAGATTGCCTGCGGGCTGAACTGGCCGGTCACAAGGGGGCTTTTGAGCTGGGCCCTCAGGGGCCACCCCGCCCCTTCCTTACCTTCAACAGGTTGTCTCTGTTTCACTCAGAGGAGCCTGCAGGAAGAGTCCACACTGAAAACCCTGACCTTCGTCGGCTGCGGCGTGTCCTTCTGTGCCTTGATAGTCACCTTTGTGCTGTTCTTAGCTGTCGGGTAAGACTGAAGTAACACAAACGCACACGTACACAGCCTGCTTATGGAGTCAGCTCATTTCCTGGGTCCACGCAGCGGCTTGGAACCAACCAACCAAGGGAGCTCAGTTCACACAACCCTCTAAAACGCCTAACCAAGATGAACACAAAGCAAGCTGGACATGCCATGTGAACGCATCCACAAGGCCTCTCCTTGGCCTGGATAAACCAGTTGCACAAACCTAGCTTAGAGTGGGAAGGGATCCCCTCCCCTAACCCTCCCATTTAGGGAACTAGTAGTGGAGGCGTTCTTCTTGGGCCCTGAGCCTTTCCCTTGAACCTTTCTACCTGTGGCTGCAGGAAGATCCTGCTTCTTCAGGAAGACACCTGGAAGCCATAGTAGAGTTTGTTGGTTGTTACTGTACCACTCCCAGGCATAGATCCGCACACAAGCATGGGAAAAAGCTGGTGGCCATTGCCGAGATTTCTGGGAGATGAGGTTCACCCATCTGACGGCTGCTTGGGTTGGGCAAGGGGATCTCTAAGCAAATGCCCGCAAAAACTTCGCTCTTCCTCTCCACAGGGTTCCCAAAAGCGAGCGAACCACAGTGCATAAAAACCTGATCTTTGCCCTGGCTGCTGCAGAGGCCCTGCTGATGTTCAGTGAATTGGCCAAGATCAATCAGGTCAGGAGAAGAGCTGTGAAACAGGAGGGGAATCATCTGGGGCTATCCCATCTGTGCCAGCTGGACATGGACCACAGAGGATCAGCTAAGAACCCCAATTCTTGTCCTTCCCCAAAACAACTAACCACAGGCCCCACCGTTTCTCCCCAGGGCATTTGCTTTGCTGTCACAGCCTTTCTGCACCTCTTCTTCATGGCAGCCTTTGCTTGGATGTTGGTGGAAGGCCTTCTGCTCTGGAGCAAAGTGGTGGCCGTCAACATGAGTGAGGATCGGAGGATGCGTTTCTACTATGTGACTGGCTGGGGTCTGTATCTCAGAGGCTGAGAAGGGGCAATGAGGAGACCAGGCTAGATTTCCACTTCATTTGACCCAGTTGAACCAATCTGTTCAAACCTCAAATTGGAGTAGATCAGAGGTTATGCTAAGAGCTTTACAATGTTCTCTCCACTCATCATGCCAGCAAGGAAGGAAGGAAGTTGATGTCTGGTAGGAAGGACCATGTTGGGGAAAGACCAGTCAAGTCCATTTGGTGGAGATCAGGCACCTGGCCAACTCCTTATGGAGATTGCATGAGACACTGAACCACAAATAAGCCAACGAGCTTGTAGATATCCTTACTGGGCAAACCCAACCTGTTTGATTAGTATATGGTTGAATAAGCTATGCAGATGCATAAAAACGGTTTGAGGAAAACATGATTCATTTAACCACGTAGCTACTACATGTTATTTGAAACTCAGAGAAGTCAAAGTGGGTGGGCTTCATATGATGGGCCAGGAAGGGAGAAGCCTGTGCTTGTTGGACACAGCGAGCCACCAAATGCTCAAGCAGAGGTCAACTTTGGCTCTTCCCCAATGGTCAGGTGGACCTCCAAAGATGGGATAAGGACATTGACCTGCCAATTTCTGCCTTCCTTCTAGGGCTTCCTGTGGTGATTGTTGGTGTAACCTTGGCTACTTCGTTCAACAAATATGTGGCAGATAATCACTGTTGGCTGAATGTGCAGACAGAGGTCATCTGGGCTTTCGTTGGGCCTGTCCTCTTTGTCCTAACAGTAAGAACCAAAGTCTTTGGTTGAACTCCTGGCCTTCCTTATTCAGCCTTTGCGTGGGTTTTGAAGGCACAGAAGTCAGGGCCTTTAATGTCCACCAATAAAGAACTTGTTTGCAACATGGATTGAATTCCCCTCCCCCCTTGCTTTTAATTCCTTTAACCCTGTTGGTTAACTCTATCATTTTTCTGTGTTTTTTCTCCCTCAACAAGCTTGTAAACCTCTCCACACCACCCATCCATTTCTCATTGCAGGTTACCTCTCCTTAACCTCCCCCAGTATCTCCAACATCTAGAGGGGCTTACCATAAATACAGACAAGAATTTTCCCCAGCCCCATCTAACAATATTGAGATTGAACCTGGAACCCTCTGCATGCAAAGCTATTATATTTGCAAACTGCTCCCCCCCCACACCCCAACCCTAAGATTTCAGTCCTCATAAAGGGCTGAAAAGCAGAATCTTAGACAGAAGCTGTGTGCAATGTCAGTACATGAATTGGGAGCAAGTTCACCAAACCTTAAGATAAGACATTCTGGCTCTGCCTGTTGGATCTGAACTGAACTTGTTCTACTCTGAGCTGGAAAATTTCCTTAAAGGTCTGACTTGTCTAGGTGATAGTTCTGCATTCTCTGGAGGGGAAAATTTGGGGACGCGTCTTCACACCCCCTGGAAGCCTTACTGATGCCAATGCCACCTTAGGTGAACACCTTCGTGCTGTTCCGGGTGGTGATGGTGACAGTCTCCAGTGCGCGGCGGCGATCACGGATGCTGACCCCCAACAGCAGCCTAGAGAAGCAGATTGGAGTCCAGATCTGGTGAGTCAGAAGGGGGGGAGTGTTCCTCCTAGTGGGTGCCAAGCTAGACATCTGGGCACCGTTTGCCAGTCCTCCAAATCACGTTGCTGTGGTTCTGTCTCTCAGCGGGATACAGACAGACAGAATTTTCCTCCTTACGGTCCACTGAATTAGGACTGGGGCAGTGCAGTGTTATGATCCGAAGGGCCGATTGATAAGTCAGAGGCAATTTGATCATGTCTCCAAATGCATTCCAAACCCAGTGGCTTCTGCACAGACATATCCCTCAGGTCAAAGTATTCTCAAGTTGGCGCACGGATCTGACTCAGAACAAAGACCAGTCGCGTCTCCCTTGTTAAAATCGTGCCAATTTGGGAAGGCATTTTAGCTTCCGCAAACGATTCAGCACCTGACACATCGAAAGAAGGTCAAAAGGTTGCTTGTCCCCCCGCCCTGCCCTCTCTGCCTTCTCCCATTTACAATTCCTGTCCAATGTTTCTTAACTGCAGAAGGCCAGTGAGGAATCGGACCAGTAGAAAAAAGCATCTTATTTTCCACGTCTCCGGGCAACGCAGCCACACCTCTCCCCAACCTGTCCCTCAAAACCCCCTCTTGATCCCACCATGCTTGCAGCCACCCCACCCACCTTCCTCTCTTTTGCTCATCGCGGTCCCGCTCAGGGTCATAAGATCATCTCCCCGAGCCTCCGATAAGGCCAGCGGACGAGAATCTCTTGTTGCTGTTTCCCTGGCGCCGCTTTGCAGCCACCAGACACACACTGTTCCTGCGGTGCTGTAAATATCCTCAACTCTGTTTGCAGCCCTGAAGGTGGAGGCCGGGGCTGGAGGGCGCGATGACATCTCCGGAGTCGGGGGCTTGGAGGCGTCTTCCCCGGGGGGGGGATGACTTATAAGAGCCATCCCTGACTGAAGCTGGTTTGCGAGCCAAAGTCTGGAGGGGTCCAAGCTGGAATTGTTTATTTCCACAGGAGCCCGGTGCGGCTTGTTGCAAAAACCCTGATTAAGAAGTCATAATAAAAAGCCACTCAAGAAACATGCAGTTCTGTTCGTTGGGCTCCACTTCCTGGGTTGTGGGCTGTCTCCACAGCTCCCTGAAATGGTGATTGGGGAGGCGGGGGTCTCTGTCTTGGGATGGGACAAAAAGGGGGAATGCTTTGTTCAGCTTGTTTGGCGGTAATTTGGAAATACCCACAGGGAAGGACCCATTTCTTCTGGCAGAGCTCTCTGTCTCAGTGCTGAATCTCCCCTCTGTCGCACCCCCTTTCACCTTTCCTTGAAGAGTCATTCCAGGTTTTGCGATTAAAACAACCCAGAGCAGAAAATGAGCATCTTTCCACCAAACATGGAGAATCGATGAGAAGTTGCACCCCATAAATCACCTCTGGCTCACGGAGCCCAGCTCTGGGGCTTGGCTGCGAAGGGCCAACCGTTCTCTCTTCTACTCCCTTCTGCAGGGCCACCACCAAGCCCATCTTAGTGCTGCTACCTGTCCTGGGCCTCACCTGGGTCTGTGGCATCCTCGTCCACCTCAGCATCACCTGGGCTTATATCTTCATCCTGCTGAACTCCCTGCAGGTGAGTTTGTGTGAACCAAAGCATCTCTCTGAACATCAGCAGAAGCTCGTCCAGGCCCATGCAACGTCCCCTGAGCCCCAAGGCGTGGCGAGGAAGCAAAACCTTTGCATCTGAGGGCCACAGGCAAGGACGCCTTGGCGCAACCCCAGAAATTCTTGCTAAAAGGGATGGAGGGAAGAGGTGGGCAGATTGGCGCTTCCTTTGCGCAACACGCAAATCCATAAGGTATTTGGTGGAATTGGGCTCAGCAGGGTGCAAGCCTGGCCTACTGTGGTTTATCCAGTGCAGCTTCTTGTTTAAGCAAACCATAGTTTAGCCAATCCAACTTTTACCTCTTCCCTCTCCTCCTCTGAGGCTAATCCTCAGCATCAAATTCTTTTGCAGCTGGCTAATTAAATATTATACTTGGGAAAGTCTTCCTTCCTCCTCCCCCCAACTAGCTAGTCATCTCTCTCTCATCTCCCCCCCCCCCAAGGGAACCCCCTTTTCTTCCCTTTATTCAAAAGGAAAAGCAACAAAACCCAAGAATGAAAAAAAACCAAAAACAGAAGAGTGGTTTCTCA